GGGAAATAAAACCTTGCTACCAAGACCTCTTGTGTTCCCTATATACTGGCTCATTATTTTGGGTAAAGGCAAAGTCCAGGTTCCAGCAGCATCATTCAAAGTGCCTTCTATCTACACAACCACCATGGTATCACTCTCAAAATCTGATTGGCAGGCTCCTATGGCCACATAATTTGCCAGTGGTTTGTCCTGGGTGTGTCATAGGGAAAATGTTGTGCCCTCTCCTCATTCCTGCTATGACTCATTAAATTGAGTACTAGCCCTGAGTCCACCTAAAAATTTGCTACACAGGGAGGCACCTAAGTGAATGAATTATTGGGCCACACCTCATGCACCCACTGACACCTGATACAGGTCCTGCAGCAGAATCCAGTTCAAGGCTGCAGAAAGTATGGTCTTGGTGTAAGGGGCAGTAACCCCAAGACCTAGAAGGATGCTGTGGTTGTTTTGTGGATGATGACTAAGAAGATGGGCAAGTGCAAAGGACTGCTGTTATTTGTAGGGAATGAGCAGGTTTTCACCTCTTTCTCTTTGCCAGTGACCTGTACACCCACTTCCCTCTGTCAGACTCCAATACCTAAGGACTGTGCACATTCTAGCTGTATTCAGAGTTTTGCCCCTACTAGTATGATGGGTAGAGCACTGCTTATTACATTCACATGCTGTGCCAGGAACAGGGGAAGAGGGAATCATGATTTTCAGATTCCTTCCTACTGAGAGAAGATTCCCATGGCTGTCTCTGTCTGACATAAATGGCCACAGTCTCCACAATTGTGGCATCATCTTCCCCTGTAGACAGTCACAAGCCTCTTCTTTTCTAATCAGGGCAACAACCCAATTACTTAATCCACTGAAAGTCCCAGGTTTCCCATATTCCCTTTTATGTTCCATGTGAAATCGCTATGCAATGCAGGTCTCTCACTTGGCCCCATCCACTGAAGCAGAGAATCCCAAAACAAAGACAATCATTCATTTTGAAAATCCTGTCTCATACTATAAGGGTAGAAAGAGTTTGGTATCACTGTGATTTTAAATTGTGGTGGGGACTGGGTCTGAGCCACATGGGCTCTACGCTTCTAGACAGAATGCATATTTTCTGGCTACTTCCCATGGGGAATCAGTGACACAGAAATTTCAGCTTGAATCCCTTGACAGTATAGTGAACTTCATGCAGCCAGTGCTTCTAAAAGTGCTTTCCACTGTGTCTTGCTTTTCTAGGACTTTCTGAATCAAAGGATTTGGGCACAATGATCCTTTGCATTTTGATGCAGGGTTGCCTGACTCATGAGATGCTTATTGGCACTATAATAACTTGCCACAAATTACCAGTGTAAAGGAGTTTTCTTATTTTTTTAAGAAAATACACTCTTCTGGTTCTGGCTCTGATGCCCTCACCCTAATTCCAATCTTGTGTTTACATATGTTACAATGAAATGAGAATATGGATAAAGAAAGGTTGGGATAATAGTGGGGCTGATGCGTGGAAGACCAAAATAACATACACACCTGATAACTACCAGACTTAGCAAAGATGCTTCTTCTGTGTTAAATTTATGCAGAAAATAAAATGACTAGGCCCTGTTCCTAAATACTAGATAGAGTTCTACTTTTGTTCTGGCTGAGATGACTTGTGTTCAATAGTCTCTCTGCCACATGGGCTGGGTCCCTGCAGAGATTAGAAGCTGTAGCAGGTCTTGGGGACATCCTTCCTTGATGAAAAAGGGTGTGGCAGACTACAGGATCATGACACCATCTGGGCATGGATTTGTAGGTTCATTTTTGGGCAAATCTGAGCCCCCATTTAGAAGAGAGCAAGCGCTCCACTTGAGCTGCGAGCCTTCTGCTCCTGCACATCTATTGGCTCCAGACAGTCTTCATGGGACCAGCTCCGCTCTGCACCAACCCTACC